TGGCCAAAACATTCAACACACTCACAGCTTTTCCTTTTCCTCTTTTTTGTGGGACCAAGCCTTTGCATCACAGATTGAGACTAAGGAAGAGATTTGTTGAGTAAAACTGACTCCTTTGTGGATGATCAGCTCTAATCCTTCCCTTCCCCCCCCCCTTTCTCTCTCTACTGAAAAGTCCACTGACTACACAGGTTTCAAATGAACTGCTTAAAAACATACCAGCTGAGTTTTCAAAGAGACAAAAAGAGATTTGGAATTTTCAATTCTATGTAAAGAACACTTAATCCAGTAAAAACTGAGGTAAAAATACCTAAGGCAAACCAAAAATTTAAGTTTATTTTGAGTTGTCTAGCACAGAGTTTAAATGATACAATATACTGAATTTTTAAGAGTTGATTTGCAATCTAACTATTATTTTTTTTAGAGAAGATTGAGGGAGACTCAAATAGTTGTCAGGAGTTTAGAGGTACAGGCACACCAAATTGGTTGAATGAATAAGTCAGCTTACAGTGTACAGGTGTATATAGCTACTGAAAGATCAACTCTGCTGACATAAAAACTTGCAGCTTACAAACATATGTTCATACAAAATTGTAGGCTCCTTACTGTACTACAAATACATGTGTCATTCATCTGAGAAAAGTTTTTTTCCTGAATGATGTTTATTCAATTTGTCCCTCTTTTGGTTCACAGTTTTCAGAGAGTGTACACGTCTTCTGAAATTTGTTCATCAATAAGAGGTGTACTGTTTTGGGTCTACATGTATGCTTAGATAAGCAAATTGTTTCATTGCTTTGCAGTTGAGTTCCAAGGTGACATATTTGTTGTGGGACACTTCACAGAAGAGTTGTGCTCAAGCCATAACATGAACTTGCAGCACAAACAAATTGCTTTGACAAATGATTGTGCTTATCTTTCTGTTTTATTCCCTGCCCCCCCCCCCCCCCTCAAAAAATTACCTATAAATTATGATTGACCAGTCCCACTCTGTAATAAAGCCAGCTTTATCAAATACATAAAAAGATGCATCTATGTTGTTTGCTTCTACTTAAATAGGATGCATAAAGCAATTTGACACTAACAAAATACTTAACATTGGCACCATATAAATTAGATCAGGGTCCACAGATCCACTGAGAGCCAAGATGTTTGAATAGAAACAATCTTCACATTCTTGCTTACAGGCACAGTGCTGTTCCAGTAAAGATGAAAACAAACAAACATTAACAAAGAGTATCTTTTTTCCACGAAAGTTCTAAATGAGTCGGTTAGTATTGATGTACAGTGCAAAAAAGCAATACGTGTATATCTTTAAAATGAGTTTTCATTGAATATTTTTTGAATGTGATTTTTCTGGGTGGAAATAACTCCCTTGTGAATCAAGCTTTAGTCGCCCTTTATGGGTCAGCTCTTCCATCTCCTGTACAAAGTCCACTCTCTGTTCAGCACATAAAGACAGTCCCTCTTTTGGTTCACAGTTAATAAAATGTACTTGTAAGTCTTCTGAAATTTGTTCCTCAGTAAGAGGTGTACTGTTTTGAGTCTACATGTATACTTTTTTTGTAACTCTCCCATGAGACTAATAGGCAAACTGTTTTATTCTTTTGCAATTGAGATCCAAGTTGATGTGTTTGATGTGGGAAATTTTAGAGAAGAGTTGTCCTTATCAGCCATAATTATATGAACTCACAGCATAAACAAATCGCTTCAAATGATTGTCCTTATCTTTCTGCATAAGACAGTCCAGTGGCTGAGAATTCAACACATTCACTGCTTTTCCCTATCCTTTTTTTTTGTGGGACCAGGTCTTTGCATCACAGATTTAGGTTAAGGAAGAGATTTATTGAATGAAACTGATTCCTTTGTGGGTCAGCTCTTGTTAATCACCCATCTCTTGTACAAAGTCCATTCTCTATTCAGTGCTTTAAGACAGTCCAATTTCTGAAACAGCTTTTAATGAATATGTTTGATGCTTTAGTTGCACATGCTTCATAAAGTTGCATAACTTACTATCAAATTCACAGAGGCTCAGTGATCGAAAAATAACAAACAAAGTTCACAAGAAAACCTTTCATGTTTGCCACATAACTACCAGTTAAAAAGACCACAAAGAGAATTCTCTTGTCTTTCCCATGGGACCCTTCAAGGAAATGACTGCAAACTTTAGTTTTGTAGCAAATTGCACAGAAATACCTGTAATGCTCTCTGTATTAGGGAAATATCACCAAAAAGCTTGAATCTATGCCCAGACTTACACTTGAATTGTTGAGGAAAATTCATTTGTTCATATTGTTCACATTACTTTTGGACAATACTGTAAGCAGAGTTCTAACCAAAGAAAAGCCAAGTTGAAATTTAGATCAGGCATCAACTCATTTGTCTAGAGATTTATTACTTGCAATATCTGAATCAAGAGAAAAAAGTCAATTTTCAGAAGCCAATACTAATTTGGGTAAAACAGTTTTCCCATTTTGGGATTTACTGCCTCACACCATGTAATTCTGTAAAATATTTAGAGCTATTATTCTGTTGTGTCAAAGGCAAAGTGAATGTTGTTGAATAATCCTCCAAGTGGAAGTTGAGAGGAATATTCAACAATGGTCAACAAGGCTGAGGCAAATAATTGTTTTAGTATGCACTGTAATTGCTAACCCTAAGCTTTCAAATTATGTTGTAAATTCTGTTAATAAAGAAAAAATTGTGCATATTTTTATTTACATTTGTGGTGGTTACTCATATCAAGATAGGTGAGGAGTTTATTCAATTAAATCAGTAACAAACTAAATATCTTTCTTTAGAAAAGTGTTTCACCAAACTCAGTCGCAAATTCTTTTGTGCTCTTCAAAATTGACTTTTCTGCTATTGCACTTATCACTTCCATGTAAACATTTAAAAAAGGTGAGACAGCCACTTTGAAATTTAGTGCCCCTGCTATAATCACCTTGTACAAGGTGATTATAGCAAGATGCATATATGATGCAATCCTCAACCAATCAAGGCACTGGTATGCATTTCCATAATCACCAGAGCAATTGTACTATAAGAATATCATTTCTACCAACAGGCTACTGATTTAATGGGGTATCTACATCGAAACAATTTAAAAAAAGGCTCTCCTTCAAAGGTATAAAAAGCACTAGCCAAGAAAATTATTTGTATGTTCACTGACTACTGTTCTTTCATACATGTAGCTGCTCAATTTCACTTCAAAATGGTAATTTTCAACTAACTTCGGTTGTATTTTGGGGAAACTTCTAAGTGTTCATTTGAAAATTCTGATAATTTTGAACTGGTCAAAAATTATGAAACATACACGAATTTTTGAGTAAGCAAAAGAGTATTTCAATGATAAAAAAATATATTTCAACATTTCTTATCACTGTTCTTTTCTCCACTTGTGGAGAACGTGGCGACAAACCAACAGCATTACATTAAATGAACTTATTTTCCATATTTCGGAAAGATTTCCGTTTAACTGCGCCCCATATCATTTTAAAACAAGTCTTCGTCTCAAAGGTAGTCTATCGTATTCGCCATTGTTTACTTTCATCAAAGAGCTGATGCATAATGAGGTGTGGGGTTATACTGAAATCTAACCGAGTTTTAATAAGCTAAAGACTTCACCCCAAAAGCGAGTTTTCGTTTTTCGTACAAGACATCACCTTACCTCGAACAAGCTGTTTACAAGCAAACTTCCCAACAAGAGATGAGTTCACGTGCGCCTTTCGCCATTCCTTGTCTAATTGTAACATCCTGTAACCATGATTTCTTCTTCATAGTAAATGTATCCAAAGCGAAAAAACACTTGCTCTCAAAGTCAAGAGAAGCTGAAGGCCATTTTCGTTCCCTTTTTCACGGCCCACAGATACTAACCGATAATAAATTTTCCCCTAATTTTTTCAAAACAGGCCGCCATGTTGCATTCCTAATTTGATCCCAATCCCCCTTCGACATGTGAACCAATCAACAACCGCCGGAAAATAGACGCAAGTTTCCGAACATTGAACGGAAATGTTCGAAAAAGAACGAGCTAAAGTAGATAAACGGAACTCCGCGAAAAGGGATGAAAGTTTCCAAAATCAGCCAGGACAGGGGACCATCCGATAAGGGACGCAATATTCCGAGATCGGTGCCCGGACAGAAATGTGGGAGATCTGACAAGTTCCGTAATGGGGGAACAATTTATTCTGATACTAAAGCGGGGACGGCGGACGAAACCTTCATGTAGGTAGTGGATTTTGTGTTGTATTGCTTACAATTAAATCCTGCAAATGTAGCCTGCCAAAAATGGCATTTACCTTCGATCAGAGTGTTTCTTATTACACAGACCTTACGTGTTTATGGTTTGAGGAAACGTCGTACAACGGTGTTATTCAATTTCCTGGTTACTTTATTAACAATTGCAATGCATTACAGATATTTCCAAAGTTGTGCTAAATAAATTAGATCGATACACGCTCTTCCACTCTCCAGCGTCACTGGAACCTCACCAAACCATAACATCATCGATTCTTTTACACTAAACACCATGCACATTCTTCAACGGGAGGGCTGACCTAAAATGCATTCATTAAAAAGACACTCATATCTCAAACATAACCCTTTAACCCTGACTACCATCTCAATTCTCCCTAAAATATTACCCTTGAATCACACATTTAGGTCACGAGAATAAAGGAAATGATCACCAGATAAGGAGACTCTTGATTATAAAACAAATTCTTCTTGTCACTACATAAGTAAACGTATAGGGGACGGTATGGAGAATATGCACACTGATGCTGGGGAGTAAAGGGTTAAAGGGGGTGTGTGACAACTAAGACGACAGTTAAGTAAAAATTTAAAAAAAAAACAATTAAATCAGTCACAAAAATAAATTACCCGTTCATTTTTTGCCGGGATAAATTTTATCTCAGCATCTTCCGCAAGACTTTCGGCAAATTTTGAGGACTTCAGGAAATTTATCGCGACAAAGTCCAAGATCTATGTACCTTCTACATGAAGAACTCACGTCCAGACAAGGTGCTTAAAGAAAGAGATGGGAATGAAAACAAATTACAGTCATTGTGAACTGTGTATGGAGGCCAAAAAACACCGTGCATAATAAAATTCAAGTAGAACACCTCCATAACAGTTATCCGTTTTCCCCCTAACAAGGCTAAGTACACAAACATTGGAGAACCAGTTCACTGACTCAGAAATCGGGTTAAATTAAAGAATGTAAGGGGTCAGTCGGGCCGGAGGTTCTTGATTGTACCACGAAAAAATCTACCCGATTCTCCCACAAGGCTCTGTAATATACTTTGACCGCCCCCACCCCCACCCCCACCCCCGCCCCCGCCCCCGCCCCCGCCCCCGCCCCTTCCCCCTTTCTTGGCAATTAATTGACACTGAGTCCATTGTCTATAATCCCCCTGGTGACAGCTGATTCCCCCTCTGTCCCTCTTCAAATCTTGTGATCCAAACTCCTCCCCATCCCTCCGCCTCTCAAGGCGACAAATAATTACTGTTCCCTAACTCAAAATAATAAGGTGAAATGAAATGAATAACATGGTGGGATCTTCAGTCTTACCAGGACAAGAATGAGTGTTACAACTGGTTGTTTCCTCAACGTCACCGGTGCAAGGATTTCCACATTTGCTCGGCGGAGGATCCGAGCATAATCTTGTTCTTTTTTGTTCCCCTCCTCCGCAACTTTTGCTGCAGGGACCCCATGTGGACCAGGGAGTAAACTTGCCATTCACTGTAATGTACAAGTATTGAGGTATCACATGGGTCTTTGCTACGTCAGTTTTATATCTATTGACAGCTTTTTAAGGCGTTCGAATCAATATGGTAGTGTCAACATCAACATCGAGTTTTATCACTGTAATTAGACCTTAATAGTTTCTTTTTTGTTTTTGTTTTGATACTCCAATCTAACTTCGACCAAAAATTCAGTCAATTGCTCTTTTCTCAGAAAACTATTCCCTCTCGATACCTTGGTCAATACATAACTGATTCACTTTTACTGATCGGTCATCACTAGCATAAACTAGGATAAAAAAGTTGCCATACCTGGATCAATGATTTTGTAGACATAATTCGATTGGCTAGCCCCTGTGCAAGCTTCACTTGAATCATCTTTACATGGTTGTAATTGTAACTCGTTATCAACTGCCGAAACACACCGGTCACTTTTCCCATCCCTTGCATACGTTAGAGAGGCATTTTCTCCACTCCAACATTCGCCGTAAAATTGAAGACCGAATATTGTAAAGCCTCTCTGAGAAGCTGCATCGGCGCACCGTGACACTCCGCTGAAATACAATTAAAGGTGCACTAAAAATTAGGTTCCCTTACAGGTTTCACAATTTTTGATAGATCGACACGCGAATTTTCCTTTGATTTTAGAGTCGGATTTATCGGCAAACTTGTTTTAGAATAAATGACAAAATCGACTTGTTTGAGATTGACCAAAAAATGGACATCGCCCACATTGATGTGTTAAAACAGTCCTGAAGAAGTTGAACTCTTTTCAATATAAATTAACGTTGAGCAGGTATGGCTTAGGATAAAATACGTTCTATATATCGAAGAGTCTGCATTGCAAAGCGTTGCTTCCAAAGACGAAAGCGAGGCCGGTGTAAGCGAATCCTGAATAGCGATGCGTAGCAAGCCCTCCCTCAACTTAGAAGTTGAGATGATAAAAACGGAAGTCAGTGTACATGTATTGTAAAAAGGGAAAAATACTGGAACGGTTCGTTTTATCGTAAATTCATTTCCTTCTGCTATATCGGTCTCATTATTTTATTGTTATTAACATCCTCTGTCATTTATGTCAATCTCATTATTTTCCTTCATCGCTGTATAACAAGATTACACGCGTCAGGTCCCTGCAAGGACTTCAGGAAATTTTCTATCTTTGGTTTTCAGTCAAACCTCGATACTATTAATGCCACTCTATTAATTACCCTGTCCTCCATTTTTATTTCTTATTTACCTGCTTATTGACTCCTTTGGAGAATACCAATTGAAGAACGAGCGATAGTTCGCAATCAATGTTGGTAATGGGCGTGGCTTCCTCAGACTGTCTCTATAGCAACCTATTTTGATATATTCATGACAGCTCTTTACGTCATCAGCAAGTCCTGAGAATAAATGCAAACCGTTTTTTTAGCGTTAAATGTTGAATATGAAGGGTATAAACAAGAAGAAAAATATTCAGACGCCTAGAAAGTCCCTATTACGTTGATCAATCACAGAACAATATTCATCAGCTTAAGACAAGTTATATTCGAAGCAATATTTCCTAAAACAGATTTTCCTCCAGGGATAGCAGAGTAAGTAAAATTCTTTTAATTTCTACTCTTCTTTATCCTTCATAAACGAAAGACAAAGGAAATTAAACACAGATTCAACCTTTGATTTTGTCCGACTGTTTTACTACATTATTTAATTTTTTTCAAAATTCATCGTTTACAGAGAAGGCTGAATTTTTATACATAATTATCAGTTTTTCCGTTTTCTATAAAATTTACTCATTCATTCGTTCATCACAGTGAAAGACTGGGTAATTGTATATGAAATAGGTGCGATTGATGATTGCAAAACGTACCTACAATTTGTTATTTCATCCAATGGTTGTTTTATACAAGGGAAAAAGAGAAAGATGCGTCAAACATACGGCCCTGATTTTTATAATCTATCGTTTCAGAGGCGTGTAAAATGTTATTAACATCCCCTGTCATTTATGTCAAGCGGCAAAGAAAATAATGAACTACATGGGAAAGAGGACAAAATTATTGTTTCAAGGTTAAGCAAACATTGACGTTACTTCTACAATCAATAATGTTGCAGTTAGACTACAATTATGGCTACTGGATGAAAAAATTTGCCTTGAAATTAATTTCATTTCTTTTGTGAAAATCACGTTGATGAAGCCTGGTTAAAATTGAGGCCTCACAATCACTAATTACACAGCACAGATCAAAGGCAAAGTGGAGGTTTAACGCATATTCTATTGTTTCTGGCTTACCTTCAATAATTCCCCAACGAAGAAAAAAGAAAGAAGATGCGAAAATGAAAACTACGAATGCCGTCTTTTTCATGCCTGTTAACGATCTCGTAAAGAAAACCAAGCTTGTTACAAAATTCTAACCGCACGACAGAAACTTTCGGTGTCTTCACCCGCGGCTTTGTATCCGTGTTGCGGTTCCACCGTCGCTGGATCTCTTTCATACTCCTTCTGTTTTATTAATGTTTCTCTCTTTCCGGAGTAAACAAATATGACACTTTTAAAGACTACTTTCATCCTGATTCCTAGATGTTTTATCCGCCCTGCTGAACATATTTCTGATAGTTCTTTGATAAAAGAATATTAACATGAACTACATAATCAAACTTTGTAACAGTCTTTGTATCCTGATTTGTTTCCGGATTAAATAAAACGCACTTTTCTGTCAAAGAAAACAATACATGAGCAGTTCATATGAACTACGCTTTTATTAGTCTTGATGGAAGGATGTAAACGTAAACCTGAACTGAAATATAATTAATACAGCTCACTGTATTATATATCAGAGGATGTGTTATCAATAATCCCTTATTGATGCTATATGTCATTCACGTAGGTTTCTTCGCCTGCCGTGGCGCGTAGGAAAGTTTAAGTCTTCTTGATTGTTCTATTCAAAGAAATAATGTATCCTGTTTACTTTCCTGTTGTGTCAGATGTAGCAAGATTCTATTAAGTCAATATGAGGTACAACCGCGTGGTTTAATAGCAAACCAAAAAAGTCTCACCTGCTTAAACAAAACCATGAGGAAAAGCTTGAAAGTAAAACAAGTCGTAAAAGATTCTTTGTGCTTCAACTCCAAAGAGAATTTATAAAACATTTTTAAAAAAAACCAGCTTGTTTGGATAACCGTAATACCTCGAGGCCGTTTCAAATCGAAATTTAAGTCTAGGAGTCGTTATCCCTTCCCCGCAATACGTTTTTGAAAATATAGTCAGATAATCTGACCTACAAACACACTATAGTTCGTTGGTTATATTCGTGTAGAAGCCTTTCACTAAAACAGTTTTCATTGTCGTCCTCTTTGTTCTTTTGAGACAGTTTTTAGGTTAAAACAAAAACCGAATACGAAGGTTACCTAAAGAGTTATTTCTCAATTGAAGTGATTTTATCATCAGTTCTTTTTATTGTATGCCAAACATTTCGCGTAATTTTAGCTCGTTGAAATTTGGTGTTAGACCAAGTAAATATGTCCTAAGCTGACATATGACTTTCTTGTCATCAACTTCCTGCTTGACAATATATAAATACTTCAAAAAGAGATTACAAATCATTTACTCTCATGAGTGACATGATTCTGATATAAATTCTAACAATTACCTTTCAAATTGACTTTGGACTATAGGTGTCTGTAGTCCGAGACTTCAAATTCGTTCCGAGCCTGAACACTGGTCTCTAATCTAGTTACATCCTCTGTTACGTGTGCGGCGTCTCTTGCTGTTCGTTAAAAATCAGTCTTCGCCGCATGGGATATCTGCGATTTTTACCCGATCTTGTTGAAAACTGGAAATTATCTACAAACCCTTTGTAACCTAGAAAGCATATCCTTAACAGTTTTTCTCTTTCTGACTTCTAGGATAAATTAAGTTCCTTGGTTTAGTCGAATGGTGAAATAGCGATACACTTCTGCAGCGCGCGACGCAAGTCAAAAGCCAAGTTGCAGCCAGAGTGCAGCGGAAATCGGCGGAAAATTCAGCTCAGCTAGACGAGTTACGAACAAAAAAAACTTGTCTTCAAAGGGGACCCGAAATCCTTAGACAAATTCGAGGTTATTTTTGAGCAAACGGTTGAATTGTTGAAAGATGATAGTTCAGGGCGGTACATTTTACGGATCTGTTCTCGAAATATGTCAGTTGGAAAGAAGGTTTTGATAAAGCTGAAAAGTAAGCTCATGTTTCACACTTTTTATTAGAAATCACTAAGACGGTATCACACATTGAGTGCACTCTAGTGCTTGTGTATTCTTTTGTGGTGATTTAAACCTCAGAGAGCTGCTCATACGTGACTTTTTCTCTCTCCGATTGTCGAAGGGGAATTAATGCTCTCACGAAACAGTGCATGCGTCGAAATGATCTTCCCTTAAGAGAATCACCATGCTGGTATTAGTTCACGTGGTCGGCGAATGGTAGATCTCAGATGGTCGATAGAGTTGATCTACATAAAACGAATGAAAAGAAAATTAGATTTCGAAATATCAAAAAAATTCTAGTCCCCCGTTACCCTCGCTCATTTTACAAGTTTCTCATGTAGCTAGTTCCCATTTTTACTCCCGTATTCCGGGGAGGACTTTAAGAACACAACACAATGACTGCACCAGGGTCGAGCCCGGTCTTTTCTCGAAAAAGCTCAACACGCTAACGACTTTGCCACCGCGCCTTCAATAGAATGACATCATTGGGGAGTCCAAGTCCAAAACCTAATTCAACAGCTTCTATCTGTCAAAATATTTTTTTGTCAGCAATAAATCCTCACCAAGTCCATTCAGATTTAGGTTAAAATATTTCTGTGCCAGTCCCTCCTCAGTTTAAAAAGCCTCCGATTCACTTGCGGCTGACCTGTTAAAAAAGACATTACAATTTCAAAACTTAAGTTCAAGTGAAGAACGAAGAGGTTCATAACAACATTTTATTCACCAATACTGCTCCGACTTCGTTACAAGCTTCGTCATTGACCATGTATCTCTCGTTGGTTAGCTGTTATTAGCAGTTGGCACCGGTATACATCAAATATCAGGGGGCTTGAGCCAAAATTTTTTAAAACACAAGGGGGTGTGGGGGCAGGTAGGCAGCTAGAAATTGAGTCATTTTGTCCGTGGTGTCTACCACAGATGTTTTCTTGTTACGTTTAGTTTAAAATTCTAAAATACAAGCTTGCCAATTGGATGGCTTCTGTCATAGTGCGACAATGATAAAATCCCACATTGTTCTTTGTAATCCAAACATGCTTTCGCTATCGACTAACCAGCATCGAGATTCCAAGTTTTGCTTTAGATTACTGTTCAAGTCGGGTAAGCAAAAAAACATCTCAGGAATTGAGGAAGTTATTTCGGCCGATAATTGTTTTGAAAGACTCTGAAAACGTTTTATTGTACACTTTCCTCTAATGCATTCTTTCAGGAATTTACATATAACTGCCACACAACTTACTGCATGTTGCTTCCAAAATCCCAGCAAACAAATCAGACAGTTGTTTAAAGCTGTTTACGGTGTAAACGTCTTCTCCTGCAATTTCTTCCAGTTGTCCTTCGAATTCCTCATAATTTCCAACACCAATTGTAATAATTTTAACTCCCTTTTTCTGAAATATGAATTGTGAACAGAACAACTTAGTAATGTAGCGCTGATGACAAAGGAGACATTGTGAAATGAAAAGAAAATGAAAATTATTGGCGATATAAGAGGGTGAAATCACCGAAATGGAAATCTGAGTTGCAACAAAGGTATTTCCTGCGTTTCGTTTTCGGTTCACCCCTTCTTTTATCTCCTTCTTCATCCAGATTTACCATGCAATCATTAAAGAGGATCCTTTAAAACGACTCAAAACTAATATGAACTGCTTTTACATGAATCTAAAGTTAGCTTAGTTTAATTTTCATCTAAATCTATTTTGTGAAATAAAGGCATGAAAACTTAAAAGAGGAAGTGATTGATACACATTTTAAAGGGTTTTCAATTGAGCCAATTAGGCGAAAGGAAAATAACTTGAAGAGCCAATGAGAGTTTAAAGTAAAAATAAGTAAAACGCCTAACGCACTAGAAACGCGGGCAACTAATTCGTTTTTACAATTGGTTATGGTCTCGCATTTTCTTGGTTAAGGGAATGGAAATTTCAACTTTGCGACTTTTCTGGAACAATCGCAGACACTCACCACTCAACTGGAAATTGATCCATTATTATCGCCCACGTGAAAAGGGTTTGTCGCAAAACAATGAATGAAACAGTGTAATAAATGAAATAAATCATTCGTATGGAAGTAAAAGAGACAGAGAAAATCTGAAAGATAAGTCCGGGGAAAGCAAATTTCAGTCATTCCTACCTGAAGCAAAGGAATTGTAGCCGAGAAAGACTTCGATTCAGGATTTGTTTTTCCAGCCGACAAAAGAATCAAAACATTTGGAAATTCCGGCCTGTCACCTCCCCTATCAGTAAACAATTCTTCATTGGCTTTTTTCAGCGCCCTGTCAATGAACAATCGGAGCCCAAATGAGCCTTTTTCTCCCGATAGGTTATATATAAGGTGGTACAGATTTTCTTTATCGTAGAAACCACTGTCTGCAAAGGTACTTATTACGTGCGCTTGTTTAGCAAACACGATAAGTCCAGTGTGTGTTTCTTCTGGTCCAATGGTCAGCGCGTCAGTCAGTTGCAGGAGGAAGCCTTTGACTAGCTTATAATCATCTATGCCAACACTTCTTGTTCGGTCGATCGCGAAAGCCAAGTCCATTCCTTGAGCCTCGCAAGGGTTTGGTGCTGGAGAATAGAATTTGATGAATACAGTTAACTCAATCATTCGCTCTGACGAAGAGCTAACGCTCGAAACTTTAGCTTTAGAAACTCTTTGCGATGGCCAATTTACAATCTTAACTCAGATGATAAAACCGAATTATCTAGTTATATCCCCCATCGATGTAGATTCATACTTTCTTTAGAAATTTATCCCCTCAACTCAATGACAGCCTGTTCCAGGCTTTAATTAAGATAATAAAACCAAGCCTGAAAGAAGACGACGCCGCGGAGCGTGAAAAGGGGAGAGGTTTGGGGCCGTTCGCATGACAAACAGCATGCATTTCGCGACTCGACTCTACTTTCGGAATGCCTGGAACAGTCAAACCCCATGAACACCAGAAATCTCAAGCTTAAGAAGACAAGTAACTCTTTGAAATAGATTATCAGAGTTTCTCTTTACCATCCAACTTCCACAGCCATTTTTAACTTCACTAATCTGATAATTGACACCTTCCTTGAGGTGTCACTATGATGTACGCAGAGATAAGTCGACCATTAAAAGTCCGTGTGCAAGGCCTTACAAACCAAATACGTGTACTTTCTGTGGTTTAAAAGACAATTCGAACAGTCTACTGTATTCTCTTTTCATGTGACCTTTCCCCAGTCCCCACGGTCCGTTTAAGGTAAGAAAGTGGGTTGGTAGGCAGTGAACAATTAGGTGACAAATTATTGGTTATTGACAATCGTTACAACACCCATTCCTCTTACCGCCATCAATGTTATGTTTTTAAGGTTCTTTTAGGTTCGTTTGTTTTTAACCTGTGATATGGAGTCAACTGGAAGTACACATGCGATCGCAGGCCAGAAAAGGTGAATCTTGGGCGAAAATGTTTTGAGAAGGGGTGAAAGCCGTTTTGCCTAACTGTCCATCTCAGTTACATTAATTGAATTTTTTTACGCACCTTTTTACGCAAATGGTTACATTGAAAATTTCGCAATACTGCTTGAAATCTCAATGAACATCTGATATTAATAGAGGTGATAAATACGAAATTAAGTGCTAAGGTCTTCAAATAATTTCAGCAGAACTAGAGAACGAAAAGGGAAATTAATCAAATTATAATGATTGTAACAGCTAGACAAGCAAACTAGTATAACTGAACAGAGGGAGGTGAGATATCTGATGTTAAAGAAAACAGTCTTGGTAGTATTTCTACCCTCTGTCTACATGGAAATAACAAAAACCAACAGCAACCTTCATTTTTTCATTCTTAAAATAAAAGTTGGCTCAGAGATAGCAAATGTTCATCATGGCGGGCCGGTCTTTAAAATCTAAAAAGGGTCGATAAGGTGTACTGATAGAATCCTGAAATACAATACACAAATAATTACATAAATACATAGAAAAATTGTTATTACAAATCATGAAATAAGACAAAGGAAGAACACTGGCTACCTCAGAGGACTTTCAGAGGCATTATTAATTACTTATGAGATTTTACCTTTGGAATGACCTCGTGTATGTATAGAAAGGAATTTTCCCTCTTGAAAATACTTAGCAGTAAATGCTTTATTTTAAAAATGAGTGAATGTTCGGATAGCTCCTATTGAAAGAATGGTATCTCATTTCATATTGTAACAACTTCTCTTGAGAAGGATTTTCATATACCACAAGAGTTGACGATTTCATGTAGAAAGTATCCAAAGTAAAATAGGTACCTCTTTATCGTGAATATTTGTAACTGCAAATTATGTTCTCCAACCCCGAAATTCCTCTCAGCTAAAATTCTGAACGACTTTTTCAATATTTAGAGTAGTCTTCAATAGTCTGCAATATTATTTCAGCAGATTTGCTGAAATAATATTGCAGTCTTCTTTACTCAGGGATTTTCTTTATTCAAAAGGGATTTCTCAACTTCTTTACACTTTTTTAGTCAACAACCGCGAAGGAACTTCAATGTGATCATAATTTTGACACCAGCAAACACAAATAACCGCACTTTTATTCTAAAAGTTTTTCTTTTAATTGCCTAAATGCTGTCACACCTCAGAACAATGCAAAACATCGTCGTCAATACAGCTGATGTACATCCATTCACAGTGACGAACATAAAAGAAATCGAAATGAGTCGATTGTCCTCTTTCTCCGAAACTCAGAGGTTGTTTAGTGATAATAGTTCGCTTAAAGCAATATCTGTTGTACAGAGATCTTATGATGTTGTCCTGCGTTACTTTTGGTTTGTTATCTCTTTTCTCCATGACCCTAGGTGAGTGTATGACAATTCTGCTTTTCCAATGTACCTCTGGGAAACATACATTTTGTTTCTGGAAATGTGTATTCAAAATCGTGGTCCGTTTCGTTCTGTTTTCAACACCCGTCATTTGATCATTAACCATCATCAAAATTCTCAATTCGACATCTGAGTGGAAGATTTCCCATTCATTTTTGTTCTATACCTACTTAGGGTGCTTTCCACTTTGCTGATCGTAGAAATATACAGTAGCTGTAGCTCAGACTGTTGAGCATCTGACTTCGAAGTCGAAATTGGCCGGAGCTCAATTCCTCACTTCCCATTGAAAGGGACCTTTTTTTTCTCTTTTTCCCACTTTCGTGACAAATGTTTCACATCTCTCCCCGTAAGGAGAAAGATCAGTTCTCTGTAGGCTTAGTGACAGAGCGGAATCAAAAGGTCTGAGGTTCCAATGCTCATGTCCTGAGTTTTTGCCAAAGCATTTTTTCTATGTTGTTTTCTTTTTTTGGTTTTGTTTTGTTTTATTTTTGGTTTTGTTTTTCCTTATTTCAGGTTGCAGTGACTATCTAGATAACTGCCAAGTGTACGATCAAATGGGTCTATGTAACATTCCAAAATATTTCGAACTTATGAAGAAGTACTGTGAAAAGACTTGTCATCTCTGCAGTAAGTAAAGCAGATGATATAATAAAGGTCATGCTAAAACTATACTTTATTCAAATGTAGGTAATGCCAGCCGTTGTTCCATCTTAAAAAATTGTATACTATGTGTATTGTATGTGCACTGAGTTTTTATGGGGCTTTACAGCAAAAAAAAACTCGCTTGGTATTTCCCTTGCGATCCACTCCACTACTAATCAGACCAAATAAAGTATTATTTTTTTTTTTAATTGCAGACTGAACTTGACGAAATTCAACTAAAAAATTAATTTCCTTTTCAGATATAACTTCTCATGCGACTCCACAACCGGTGCAGCCTGGACAGCCCCTGGGTAAGTTTTTGAGTGGATCAGAGGAATTTTTCCATGCGTTGTCGAAGATTGTCCAATTTTAATCAGATTTTACACCACTACACAATGTGATTAGCTTAAAGAAATCACCGGCATCATTGCTTCAACTAATCAAATGCAAAAATAAACCAATTGCGATCTTATATATTTGAAACTGTGTTTTTAGTATGCGGAGGTAATACATAACAGAGTATATCAATCTCTCATACAAGCCGTATAACATTTAATAACCTGCGCTGTTAAGTCTGCTTGGATTCGGATTGAAAAGGTTTAAAATGAGAAGACACTAAAGACCCATAAAACGTTCCAGGTGAATGTGGCAGGTCTGTGGTTCCTCAGGGCCGTGTTATCGGTGGAACAGATGCGATACACGGATCGTGGCCCTGGCAAGTAGGTCTGTACGCTGGAGACGATGACTCTAAGTTCTTCTGCGGAGGGTCCCTCATCAAACCAAACTGGGTCGTCACAGCTGCCCACTGCATTAACGACAATCTGCCCGTTGCTTCATACCGCATTCGCTTGGGAGACTGGCACCGCTTCTTCCCCGACGGCACAGAACAGGTCCGCAACGCGTCCAAAGTGATTAAACACCCTAAGTACAACTACCCATCGCTCATCAATAACGACATTGCCTTAATCAAGCTCGACCACCCGGTGCTGTTGAATAGTCATGTGAACACCATCTGTCTTCCTAAGAGAGACGTAGCTGTCTCTCTAAATAGCACGTGCTATATCACAGGTAATTACTTGTCACGTTTTGCTAGCTACAGTAACGCCTATAAATGAAGAAAAATTTTAAAGGAACCCCTTTTGAAATTTTCAAGTCAAACCTGAAACGCGCAGAACTGCCTTAAAAGTAAAAAAAAACAAGTAAAATAAAATGAAGCTTATCTAATTCAATATTGCGAAAAGTTTTGAAACATTGGCTTGGTGAGACAGGAACGATCGAGGAACAAGGATGAAAAAAAATGGGAAAGAATTGAATTCCGAACACCACACTATCCCCGCATTAATTTGGAATCGTGTTTTTACTATTCTTGCATAATCAGAAGTCGTTTTCGTACATTTGGTGTGTTTCATAAGAGCTTTGGATAAGAACGTTTTGTTTGGGAAATTTAGCAAAATATAAATGTGGTAATAAAAATCATAAATGTGATCGTGTAGTCTGATAAATGTGATCGCGTAGTCTGATAAATGTGATCGTGTAATCTGATAAATGTGATCGTGTAGTCCCGGCCTGAGGAGGAACATTGTCGGCGGTAGCTGTGCCTGACGTTTCGACAGCCTTAGCAAAAGCCATTATCAGACTTAAATGATGTGTTATCATAAATGTTATCACGCTCGTTTCAATTAAATAAAGGATTGAATCAGCCAGTCGGCTATGTCCTTACAATTAAATGTTAAATGACTGGTGCATATCGTAGGTCAGGCTATAGCCCGAGAAGGAAGCATGACAACTTTAATGCACCATCTCAATTCAGAATATCTTTATCCTGTAGGGTGGGGCAAGGTGAAACATCCGGGTGCTTCCTACCACAAACTTCAACAGGCCCAGCTCCCACTTGTCTCCAACGCCGAATGTTCCCAGAAACTTTCCGCTTCACCCTCGGGGGGAATACTCAACGTTACCAAACAAATGGTTTGCGCCGGAAACCTGAACCCCAATGAATCGCAGGGAGGTTGCCATGGCGACAGTGGAGGACCATTCGTCTGCAAGGACTCTGCATCCGGGAAGTTCGTCCTACAGGGAGCGGTTAGCTGGGGTTCGCCGAATTGTAACTTTGCGCAAGTCAACAAACAGTACACGGTGTTTGCCCGAATCAGCAAATTTCGCCGTTGGATAAATCTTAAAATTTCTCAAAACTGAACACTAAAGAGCCACATCTGAATGGAAGTGACATTATGATAACAATAGTCCGGAGTGACGTTTATTGGGTAAAGCCTTGCAAGAAATATGTAAAGGCTAATAAATTCGAAAATAAATGATGAAGAAATATGTGCGTTTTTTCCTTGTACCAAAAAAACCACCGTCTCAAGACAACCTGCGATCATAAGCAAGTGAGAAATCTCTCTTTCAGCTCATTTCCACCGCAAATAACTCCTACGTCGACAGGTTTATAATAATTTCGAACGGAGAGTGACAAAAAGAAAGAATTCACATTGGACATTTGAAATTTTATCACTAACTACCATAATTTGAAAATTAGATTATTTCTGGTGAAAAATTAAGCCAATTTTCTTTTTTTTTTTTCTCTCATTTGATTGGCGTTGGACAGAAACATTGTACAGTAAAACAAAATTTTTCTCAGTGTAAAGGGAATAAAATTAAAAAGGAGAGCAGAGAAGGGACAATTCATAAATTTTCCCCTGGGGAGGGGGGTGGGTTAATTTTAAGGGGGTCACCTGGTTTTCAGAGGGAACGGAGGGGTAGTCAGTCGTCGCCAAAGAGCATTAGGGGAAGGCTATAGAAAATAGACTGCCCCCCCCACCATAACTTCGCTAACAATAAGTAGTAATAACAGCTACAACTCACGACAGATAATACTGACGACATCGCTGAGTGCTCCGACAAGTGACCCATAGTCATGTGCTGAAAGCACGTTTTCTCCCCCGAGCTCTTTCAGCACCTTTTGATAACTTGGCTTTTGTGCGTCTGGACCGATTGCTAAAACAACCACACGGACACCTTTACTCTGAAAAAATTCATACCAACAAACAATCAAACGGAAGAATGGGAGAAACACAGAGCTTTTTTTTACCTTTTTTAATGATAAAAGATGCGTGTATTCTGAAAAAGCATGCAGCTCTTAAAGTAAACATCACATCACACCACAATACAAACACCACAACTATGTTTGAATGAAAAAAAGGCCGTGAATAAAAAAAGGGCCGAGAGAAAATATTGAAAACAAATGGGTCCCTCACCTTAATACTTCTCAAATGTTCCTTGTACTTTTTTTTCTCCGTCTCCGTTGGGTGAGACCTTCCGTCTGTGAACAAAACCATAACACTTCGCACGCCATGTCTGTCTCCATTTTCCCTGGTGAATAGTTCTAAGTCGGCCTTCTCCAATGCCAAATCGAGACGCGTAGGTTTTGTCAGTTTGTCGATTTTTTCGTCTATCAGATTTGTAAGAGAGTTTTTTTCAAAAAATTTTGGTTCGTCAAAAAGATTGTGGATTACGCTTTTGTCACCGAATGTCTCTAGGGCTATGTGGGCTCCATCGTTTGATATATCGAATTGTTGCACGAGGTTTTTCAAAACTGTCTTCAATTCGTTGATGTTCTTTTGTTTGATACTTTGAGTTGTATCCACCACCAAACCTAGGTCAAGTTTACAACTGGAGACTGAAAAAACAAAAAGAAAAAATGGTTAATAAAATCTGTGACGTAAGAATGTGTTTTGGAACTTTTTTCTAAACAAGATCACTTTATCATATTAGGAAGACTGTCATCGTCACTTTCTGGGAACTGTCTTTGTTAGAGCAGTTTTCGATTGAGTGTCGAAAAACCAAAACCAAAGTAATCCAGGCGACTAATCAGAACAAAGGTTTGCATTATCGACCAAGAGGAACAAAGGTTTACATTATCGACCAATAGGAACAAAGGTTTACATTATCATTAGTTAATGAGAACTCAAAGTGAAAACAAACAAACTGCTTGAAGCGCGCGAAAACGCTAATGACCAAGTCGCGATTGTTTTTAATTTTGCATCTAATTTGTTGAGAGGATGGCGCCAGTTTTATGGACCAATCACAGTGCAAAGCTCGATAAAACTAGAGAAATGACTTTCGACACTTTATTAAAAATTGGTTCCTCACGCAACCTACGATAATTTCAGAGTGGCGCTTTCTCTTGATTCTCCACTGGTTTAGCACGCGTCGCTCCTCAACAAGTACTCGAGTAACGCTTGGTGTCTAGAATATTTTAAATGCGTTTAGGGTGAGAAGTCAGAGTTGTGATTCTAGTTTTGTACAATGTGTATGTCGGAGTCAATCTACAATAAAAGTGTTTGCTATTCACAAGTGTACGTGTCTTTGAAACGACTTAGATTGAGAGAACATTACGTAGAATAATAAGTAACAAAAAGAAATCGCAGCTGCTTGGGAAACAAAAGATATCAGACTAAGTTTAAATTTGTTGAAATTTTAAACTGTAAAGACAAGATAAAACTAGGAGAAAAGAAGATTTAAATAGCTTCACGCGTGTCTATTTATACTTACGTCTTGTGGTAGATGTCTTGGATTCTGAAGATAAAAAAAATGCGACGCACGTGAAAACTCGTATAAGGGTGCAGTTGAAAGAATGAGATAGTTTTTTATTTTTATTTTTTTTTAATCAGAGCAAGAGATGGAGACATCATAATATACATCAAGAAAAAAATACCAAATATTATAATTCAAAAGATTGTTCCTTTGGAATCTATATGGCCTCTCGCATTGCGAGGAATTTGAAGAGTCTAAAGACACTGTGGTGCTTAGTCAATGGAGGGATATCACAAGAGAAAATTGGATTTGATCAAATAAGTTGATAACGTGAATTGGTCACTGAAAGGAGTTTATTAGGCTGACGTTTTGAGGGTTAGCCCTTCGTCCGACCGATTAACAATAGTACATCGCCATGGATTCGCGATTGAAATTTAATGTTGAGCAGTAGAACGGAGGGCTAATCTTTACCTTTGCAACTCTCACGCATTATGGTTGGTAAGAGACTGGGCAGCTCTTTTAAATCATTGACTTCGAAAAGCCTCTTCTCGTTGTTTGACAAAATTGGAAGGAAATCCTCTTTCTGTATTGGCTTGTTCGGCAATCCGATTCCAACAGCAAGTATCTTCACACCTTTTTTCTTTAAGACCAAAAAAATGTTAAAAAGTATAAGAAGGGTCCTACTCCTGTATTCTCTGTCTACCTCACCTATCTCGTTTTTACACTATGTTCAGCTATTGGTGGATGACATATTGAGTGTGGGAAGCTGGGAACGAGAAAAGCAGTTTCTGCGGGAAAGGATCATGTCACCACATCAAGACGAATAACTCAGATTCTCATGTCTCGTTTCACGGTTCTTGATTAACACGCTCAATCACGAGGCGCCGAAAGGTTTATAAGGGTCCTAAAGTAAAGCTGATAAAGCTTCCCTGATTAATGAAATCGTTCAAACCTCTAATGCTTTCACGTAAGACTTGTATTCGTAGACCTTCGACTTATATCCTCCATCACTCAAAATAATCAACACTTTGTCTCTACCATCCTTGGTCACTTTCCAGGTGAATAAATCGCTGTCAGCTTTCCTGAGAACCCTGTATAAACTGAATTTTGATGTTTGTTCCACACCGTCGAGCTTCTGACCAATATAAGAAAGTTCTTGCTTTCCTCCACGACTCAAATCAAAGGCCAATTCTAACTTTGCATATTAGTTGTCATTGGTAATAAGACCAAACCGTGAAGCGCCTGACTCCAAATCAATGCTCCTGGCCAGATCCATGATAAACTCCTTCGTCTTTTTAAATTGCTCCTCAGTGAAACTGGGGGACGTATCCAAAATAACTCCCATATTGACTTTGCAATTCCATGATGGAGGCACTGTAAATGGAATGTGTGAAATAAGTATTTAAAATAATACTTAATAACACCCAAATACTTCTTACATAAAATTAATTGACGAATTGGGAACTAGAAAAAGTAAGCATAAAATCAGATAACTGGGGAAAATATCTTCCTCACGTTGGAGACTTCATTAGATTTTAAAAATAACCATGAAACATTTAAAATAAAACACTGACGGGAAATAAACTTGTACAATATTTATTTGACGCTCACTACTTGAAGTGGATTTGTCAGTTAATAACATTCAAAAGATTTTCAATGAGTTAAACCAGAAAACCAAATAAAACTCCTATTTGTATGACAATTTTATTCAGAGTAAGAATATTGGTACAATGAAAATGAAAGGGATCCATATCATAAAAATTTCATATTCACTGCTTGGAGTAGTTTTTTTAGTGCTGAAAATAGAGAAGGAAAAAACTAACAGACTAATTAACTAAATGTGTATACCATATCGATTTTTAACTTAAAATTTATCACCGGCTTTTTGCAATAATGAAAAATTCAAATTGAGTATATGAAGAGCAGTAAAATAAAACGTGACTGATAGAGTCACAACTGCTTAGAGGATTGCATCTGATTGGTTAAAAAGTTTGAGAAGTGCAGGATATCTTAGCCAGTCACAAAGCAAATAAATGCAAAGTGAACGCAGTTCCAGATTACCTCCACCTTATATCACATGTTTCTGTTAGCCTACTTATTCTTATTGCTCTCATTACTGTCTGACATACAATTCTTACGACGTTTGTTCGGGGAATTTGTCATATTATCAACTAATAATCCCCTTGTTGACACTTTTTTTTAATTTATCACTTCTCTGCCTAATATTGTGGTGATAAGTCACTGATGGGTGTTAATAGATGTGAGGGTAACTCCTCAGGTGACGTCAAGAAAGAAGGGAACTGAGGAATTAGCATCTTACCTTAGGAAAATAGCGGCAGTTGGTCAAACTTTGTTTTATGCTTCACGTTACATTAGCCTGAGGACACTTCACCACTATGCACTGACAAGCGAAACCCAAGGCCTGTTCCCCCTTATCTTTCCTAAATGTAAGACATGCTTTGGAATTGATATACGATTTCTCTTACCAGCAGCAGCAATTGGCAGGGTACCAAGGAAAGAGACCAACATGAATGACAATACACCCATCTTGCCTGACTTTAAAGACTGCAATGAAAAAAAAAAAAAGCGTTTATCAAGCATCTCTCAAATTCATGTCATACTTTTTTGAAACAAAACAGATGACAAATTAGGTTATATTAACCTGTTTTCCGACAGCAGTTCAGAGCACAAACAAAGACACACAGATGATGCGATGATTAAGAAGTAAAAGACAACTAATTCAGTGGTACCTCACTTTACAGACTTTATTCAACATTGAAAACAATCCTTGAAGTTGAAAAGAACACGTAAACCAATTGTGATAAGCGGAACAAAAGGACATTGTTCTCGATATGATAGATTTTGAAAATAAATGAGGTTATCGAGATTTTTAATTACCCCACAGCCAACAAAAGACTTTTAGATCTCATTCTTCTGACACCATATATTTACTACCGAGATCAGTGATAAGTTATTCTCCACAGCATTTTATAATTTATGGTAGAAAGAATTTTTTGCCATGTCATCAAGATAATACCAATTTAGCATTTGCGAACTAGGTCCGGCTTTTTGCCCAATTGTATCAAAACCTCTTCGTAATTTAGGTTTGTAGTTACCTTTGCCTGTGATTCTCTTTACATATCTCATCGAAAAATCGAAGAAAAAGTAAGTGAAAATCGTTTCCCAAGTGTTGTTGGAAACAAGCAAGAAGCAAAATCGATGTACGAAAAAGCGATTAATAAATCCTAAGAAAGAAATTATCCCAACAAATTCAGCGCCTTTGACTCTGTTAACTTTTTATTCCTAAGATCTCATTAGTAATTCTCCTCATTGTCCGCTATGTACTTCTTATGTTTTTAGTTCTGAGGATTTGGTAATGGATCAACTTGTCAACTTTTCATCGCTTGTCTGCTTGATATTGTAAAGAGAAATTCTATCTTGATCACTCATGAGAGTTTCAAAAGGGTTAACAGTCCCAAGTTAGAGACGTGTAAGGAATTTCTCTTGGCGAGGAAATCACATTTGAACGTGTTAACCATATAATTACTTTACTGCATTAGTGACAATAGGGCTTTGTGCCGTTGGAAGTAAATTAGGCCACTCGTCAAAATAGAGACAATATGTCTTCAATTTGCAGTTCATACTTTTGTCTGTTTAAGACTTTCCATAGATCAATAGGGTGATCCAGACATTAAATTTGCATACATGGGCTATGCTGCCGCACAAATCGGAACCACTCCTTTTACATTACTAAAACGCACTTGTTCAAAGTCTAAATGACACAATCTTCTGAAAAATTCACTCTCCGGTAGAACCTTGGGAAAGATTTTCGTGTAACCCCATACATGTTTTGTACTATTCTAAAACAAAGCCGTAACCCAAAGGTCATCTACTGTTGTCGCCATTGTTTTCTTTATCCAAGAACTGTATGAATAATCGGAAGTATGGGGCTGTGCGGAAATCTTGCCGAAATTGGGCGTAAAAAATTTCTGCACTTGAAAGAAGTAATTTAGTGGGAGAGTTACTTCACCTTTCTCAGCACATCTCTCAGTTACTACGTGCGCTATGATTGGTCGATTTAGCGGGCCGTATTTCATTGTGCAACCCGCTAAATTCAAAACTTCGTTTGAGTTGAAATCTTCCCCCTCTATTTGAATCCAGAGATATATAACTATCTTACTAACTTCGTTTTCTTGGTCTGTGCTGTAAGTCAAGAAACCTCGTTTTTTCCGCTCGATTTATGGCCTGCGCTTTTCAGAAAAAGAAAGAGGTTGCCATAACCTATAAAGTAAAGACCTCGATACCCGGTTGGAAAGAGGCATTCCTACGGCCGGACGACTGACTTCTTTGGAAGGCAGTGAATTTTTCCGCTTTCTGACACGTTATGAACTAATCTGACCAATAAATGGAAGACCTTTCAAGCTCTGTACATTTAGTAACTTACCGAGCTCAAGAACAGAGTCCAGCACAACTTGTGTCAGCTTTGCTTTGACCTTGTTCAGTGTCTGACCACGAAATGTGCATTCCGACAATTTCAATGACATAAGTATCTTTAATCCCTTATCATCGCATCAGCCAATCATTTTCAAATTGAACAATGTTTGTTCTAGAGTAGTCCAAAGCCTTATGTAGTTTCTGGTGATCTCGTTAATATCCTCGCTGGTCTAATGCTCAATGTACCATGAGAAACGTTCGCTGATAACATTCATAGAACAATGATAATAATATAACTGATAACATTCATAGAACATATTCATAGAACCTCTGAACACAACATAACGACGATAACAAATAAGTACAGGTTTTCAAGATTCAACTTTTTTCTTGTTCTGTTCTCTAAAGTACGTTCATGCCTGAAGTATCATTTCGCTTCTACTGTTAATCGTCCAATTCTTAACCTTTTTAGACGCTTCACTGAACCTTCAGGGAAAACACTCCTTTTGTGCAAGTCCATTTGACAAATAAAGTATTGCCAAGTTGAGCGATGTAGACCATGACAGTATTGACCGAAAACTCACGTTCCTACCATTTCTTCTACTGCTGCTATTCGGCTGGATTACTGATTTCTTGTAAGTTGGTCTTTCCGTAAAACTACCTCTACAACGCGGGATAACGATAAATTTCGTTACGTTTCGATGCTTTCAGCTTTTTGGACTTTCCCCTGGTAGCATCTTATACATCTTTAAAATACCATGTTGGCTAAAAAAAAGTCTGGAATTTTATTTATCGACGAGCGATAGATGTGACTCAAAAAATTCAAGGTGGCCGAATTGCCATACGAATAAAGGCGAGGATTAGGCGAAGAAAAACGATTAAGCTTTCGTTAATCTGTACGTTGCTGTTATTCACGTTCATCAGATAACCTTTTTTGCTATTTCTTCCTATGGAAGTATTTGTACCACTGTTTCCCTTAGCAATTTATGCTTTGTCTGTTATTCAAAACGATTTCATTTTATTAATTTTTCATCGAGATGAGGGAAGTCATTCGACCGAAATTGCTCTGAAAATAAAGAGGATTCTTTCACTTAGCCCATCGCACCATTGGCCGTCTCTTCTAAAATGAGTGAGAAGTTCTGGGATCAGAGTTCGATATAGGGTTTTCTCGGCTTTTTCGTCATTTTCTCTTACATTGTACGTAAAAAACACGTCACAAGCAATTAGGAGGCATGTTTCAACCTAGTTCCCAAAGAGCAACGCCGAACGCTAAGGAAGGAGATTTAATTTTCTTTGCCAACTAGAAACTTAGATCTTAAAGCAGTTTAAACTTAGATCTTAAAGCAGTTTTATTAGTGAATGATCAAACACCAATCACAAAAAGACAATTTCCAAACCACACCCTTCGTAACAAGAAACCCTATTTCAAATTGTAATGGCTAAAATTTTAAAGCTGCTTGGTTTAATGCTGCCCGATTCCCATGACACTCGACTGCTGCGTGAATAACACCTGTTGGAATGCGAAAAAATAACAACACTTAGAGAAATTTATTGATCTGTGGCATTAGTAAAAGTAGCAAATTACAACCAAGAGACAATTTTATCCAATCTTGTTACAACTTGAGTAAAAAAAAAAGTCTAGATTGCATTTGCACTCCTGATCCCTGTGGTTCCCTGGGTTGATAAAGCTATCCACTGATTAAATATGTATCCATTGTACGGCTCAGTAGGTTTTGTTAAAAATTATCCCCTGGAGACGGGAGAGATTTATCCGCCCTTGGAACAACTGGACCTAAGAGCCTAGGAAGCAGGGATAGCAGAAGGGGGGAGGAGGAGGTAATCGGTCACCTGACTGAAATTTTTTTTCAAACTAGTTAGTTGTTTATCTAAACAGAGGGACTTTTCTAAACTTTTTGATAAAACGGTGGGTCATTGTGCTTGGTTTAGTTAGAGACTACAGTGCCATGGATGTATTTAGTAATTTCTCATACCCACCTCAAAAGGATTACAAACCCTCAGTAAATATTGTGATTAATTCCGACATAGGTAGTAGTCTATGTTCATGTTATAGAGATCATGTTATTGTTCAAATTTAGAAAGGGCCACTGCAAACTATTCTCGTTTACGAATCAATTTATGTTGCTGGCGGGTTCTGACGATAAAGAAAACGCAGCCATATTGTGTGTGTGTGTGCGTTAATCACGCGTGCGCAGGGACGATGTACGGTGCGATACTACAGAGTAACCTCATGGAGAGCTACAAACTTAAAATCTTTTTAGTAATTACCTTATTTGTTTTGGTTTTTCCAAATCCCTCTTGTGTTGGAGAGGCTTAAACTCTGACAATATCCTCTTCGGCTGAGTAAGTCACTATGATAATGGTGTAATAAGTTTATGAAGATAAATAAGGGACTAGGTTTGCTTTTTAAACATTCCAGTTACACAAGCATGCGCAATAATATCTGTGACATTCCTTAGCATAACAACGGCCAACCAGAGCAAATCATGATCAGTCATTTTGGAAATTATTATGCTGCCTCTTACAGAGTATTACAGAGTTTTGTTTCACGGCCAATTTCGTTACATTACAAAGATACTTGTACGACAATAAGATACTGTAAATAGACTTCTTAAATAATACAGTGAATATTCTTATTACCATCTGAACACGGCTGTTCATTACAAGGTCTGGTCTCCTTCAAAGGGCCATCACAGGTCTTCCCGTTTCCTTGGGGGGGAGGGTTGGTACAGTTTCGTGTTCTTGCCTGAACTCCACCTCCACAGCGTGCATCACATTCAGACCAGAGACTCCAGCGGGTAAAACCGCCATCTACACCTGGAAAACACGGGTACTTTGAGTGATACTCGTCATCAGATACTATGGGTGCCCGACATAGGAGCAGAGTCACGCGCGATCTCTAAGACATGAAGACTTAAAGCTAAAATTTTCAACTTGCGTGTCGACCCTTTCCCTTTGTAGCCATCACTGTTTCGTTTGGGGTTGTTTTAACCTATGTTCTGAGTGTTATGCGCGTAGGTACAGTGATTTCATTCTTAACACGGCACTGTTTTCAACATGTGTTGTCAGCTCGACAGATTGGATCTTTTAACTCGTTTGAACTAACGGACCCTAAGGGGATACACTCAGTTTACTTACTGCACGTTTCAGCCAGAATGTCACTGAACAGATCTGACAGTTTGTCGAAGTTGCTTGCGTTGTGAACGTTTTCCCCGGCGATTTCTTCCAGTTGGCCTTGGAAATCTTCATACTGACCAATTCCTACTGCAACAATACGGACGTCTTTTGCCTTTGAAGGGAAGGAAAATTGGGAATCTAGGCCACTTTAAAGAAGTTTTGTAAAGAGTCTATATTCAGGATTTGGCTGGTCATTCACCGAATGACCTTAAACGAAGATGACATTTTCTCAGTTATTTTCTGACCTGGTGCTATCAGAAGTCGCATAAAATTCTTTTGCATATGACATCGGCGTTTCCAAGAAAATAAATGGCGCTAAAAGGAACAGGTGAACAAAAAGGAGTAAATTGTAATAGCCTGGGATTCTAACCTCCAGAAGAGGGATGATCGTAGAGAAGGGTTTTGATGCTGGATTGGTTCTTCCGTCCGTCAGGATGATCAGAACATTTGGAAAATCCGGTCTGTCACCTCCCTCCTCAGTAAACAGTTTTCCTGCGGCGGCCATTAGAGCTTTATCTGTGAAAGTACGGTCACCAAGGACGACGGAAATCTTAGCCAAGAAGTCGTGTACAGCTTCGTTACTGTACAGCCCGCTATTTGCAAAATCGCTGAGGACCTTAGGTTTCCTGCTGAAAGTGATTATACCAGTGTGTGTAGCGTCTGGACCGATGTTCAACGCGGCAACGAGCTCGAGAAGGAAACCTCTGAGCAGCAAAAAGTTCGGCACTCCCAGGCTGCTGGTTTTGTCTATTATAAATGCCACGTCCATTCCCTTTGAGTTCTCGCAAGGATCAGGTGCTGCAGGAAATTATAAGAATGAAACAGAGCTTACGGTAGCCTGCACAATTTTACTGAGTTCTCCTTCGGGATCGCTTTGGCCGGGGATTCCGATCGGGATCTCGCCGATAGGATAGTGTCGCCATTCCGTCATCTAATACTCAAAACTTGCTCACAAGCGGATTGATTTTATCATTTTTTTAAGTCAAGAATAACACACACCAGTAACATACCATGTACTTATTGACTGCGCGTTAAGGCCGGACGGGAAATATTTTGCTTGAGGTCCGGACTAAGTGACGCCATACCAAGTCAAGAAATAAAGTTGTAAAAGAATATTAAGGAAATAGGTATATGTCAGGAGACTATAATTATATACTCACGACAGATCAAAGTTAAAATATCATTAGTTGCATCGTCGAGGCTTTTATAGTCGTCCACAAAAAATAGATTTGTGCCTCCAATGTAGTCAAGGACTTGGCGATATTTAGGTTTCCTGGCGTCAGGGCCGATACCGACCACGATTATACGGACACCTCTCATCTTAAAAATAAAATAGAGAGAACTACTTTTGTAGATCAAGTAAATCGTTTAGTGAAGTAAAGGAATATCTGTTTAAGAGGTTACAGAGCTTAACGCTCAACCAGAGGAATGGTTGGGAATTGGCCTCTCTTTCTATCGGTTTTAACGTCGATCTGCCATGCGAGCAGCCCCCTTAGTAAAGTTTATTCCAAGTTGCCTTTCCTTCTTTTTTACCTTAAGTGCAACAATATCCAGATAAAAGTCTTCGGTATCAGGATGTGATCTTCCATCCGTGTATAGAACCATTGCACTCCTGACGCCCGGTCTCTGTCCACTGGCCTCTTTAAACATTTCGTCTTTAGCAAGCCTGAGCGCTTTGTCCAGTCGAGTGGGTTGGGCGAGGTTGTTGACGCTGTTTGATATCAATTCAAGTATGGCGTCCTCACCGTGATATTGCTCGTCGTTGAATTTATTGTGAAGCGTAGCCTGCTTGGAGAATGTCTCCAAAGACACGTGGGTTCCATCGCCGGTAATGTCAAACTTTTGAAC